GGTGGTGGTGGTGGTGGTGATGATGGTGGTGGTTTGTGCTACCTGTAATCTAGTTCCTTTCAAGCCCTCCTCCTCCTTTTGCTAGTGTATAGTGGTAGGAACGCTGTATTTGGAATCAGGAGAGGCTTGAGTTTAGAGTACAGAAATATCTTTCTATATTATGAAGCAGTCCTTAAGTACAGATTATTTGCATCCCCAGCTCTTTGTCCAGCACATGGTAGTCTCTTAATAAATGCTTGTTGATTGATTGAGCTAAACAATTTACTGCTGTACAACTTGACTTGGCTTAATAACTGGTTATTTCATGGTACCAATATATTTTTTCCCATGCCATCTAACTCTTAACACTTGGGGAAGCTCCTAGTTGAGTTCCGTTTACAACCTCTCAGTTTCATATTTAATCTGTCTTCTCTAAATCTGGGAAACCAAACTTCCCCAGTTCCCTTTTTTTTTTTTTTATTTAAATGGAATCTGCCCAGCAACTCCTTTTAATACCTATCTACAAAGGCCCTTCAGCAGCTACTTTCTTATTCTTTTGTCTTGACAAACATATTGACTGTCTTATTAGTATGTAAGTTCCTTGAGGGCAGAGACTGTTTCAGTTTTGTCTTCATATCCCCCGTACTTAGCACAATTATACACAGTAGGTGCTTAATAGATGTTTGTTAATTGATTGGCTTGTTGATACCTGTCTGTTGCTCAGGATAGCTTCCCATCTGAGATCCAAACATCACTCTTTTCCTCCTATCCCTTTTGGACCTCCCTGCTCACCTTTTTTGTCGTTGTTCAGTCGTATCTAACTCTTTGTGACCCCATTGATCATAGCACACCCAGGCCCTTCTGTCCTCCACGATCTCTCAAAGTCTTTCCAAGTTCATGTTTGTTATTTCCATGATACTATCTGTCCATCTTATCCTCTTCTGTCCCCTTTTCCTTTTGCCTTCAGTCTTTCCCAACATCATGATCTTTTCCAGTGAGTTCTGTCTTCTCGTTGTGTAGCCAAAGTATTTAAGCTTCTGTTTCAGCATTTGGCCTTTCAATGAGTAGCCTGAATTAATGTCTTTAAGTATTAATCGATTTGACCTCTTTGCTGTCCAAAAAGTTTTCTCTAGCACTGTAATTCAAAAGTGTCGATTCTGTGGCACTCAGTTTTTCTTATAGTTCAACTCTCACAGCCATGCATTGCTACTGGAAAAACCATAGCTTTCACTATACAGATCTTTGCCAGCAAGGTCATGTCTCTGCTTTTTAGTATGTCACTTGGATTTGCCATAACTTTCCTTCCAAGAAGCAAGTGTCTTTTAATTTCATGGCTGTAGTCAGTGTCAATGATCTTTGAGCCCAAGAATGTAAAATCTTACATTGCTTCCATTTCTTCTCCCTCTATTTGCTAGGTAGTGATGGGATCACTATGGTCTTAATTTTTTTGTTATTAAGCTTCAAGCTAGCTTTTACACTCTCCTCTTTTCACCCTCATCAAGAGGCTTCTTAAATCCTCTTCACTCTCTGCCATCAGAGTGGTATTGTTACGCATGTCTGAAATTGTTGATATGTCTCTCAGCTTTTGGTTCATCCAACCTGGCGTTTCACATGATATACTCTTCATACAAGTTATGAGTTAAGTTAAATAAGGTACAGCCCTGTGCTCCTTTTCCAATCTTAAACCACTCAGTTGTTCCATGTTCAGTTCTGACTTGCATCTTGGCCTGTATCCAGGTTCCTCAGGAGACAAGTAAGATGATCTGGTACTCCCATCTCTTTGAGGACTTAACACGTTTTGTTGTGAACCACACAGTCAAAGGCTTTAGTGTAGTCAATGAAGCAGAAGTAGATGTTTTTCTGGAACTTAGCAATTTGGTCCCTAGTTCCTCTGCCTCTTCAAAAACCAGCCTGTTCTTCTGGTAATTCTAGTTTAACATATTGCTGAAGCCTAGCTTGCAGAGTTTTAAGCATAACCTTGCTGGTGTGTGAGATGAATTCAATTGTTCAGTAATTTGAACATTCCTAGGCATTTCCTGTCTTTAGAATTGGGACATAAATATCACCTCCACTAGCTTTATTGTTAGCAATGCTTCCTAGGGCCCACTTGACTTAATTCCCCAGCATGTCTGGCTATAGATCGGTAGCTACACCATCATGGTTATGGGGCTGTTAAGATTTCTTTATATAGTTATTTTGTATGTTCTTGCCACCCCTCCTTAACCTCTTCTGCTTCTGTTAAATCCCTACCATTTTTGTCTTTTATTATGCCCATTTTTGCAAGAAACTTAGATCTCTTGTCTTTCCCATTCTCTTATTTTCTTCTATTTCTTTGCATTGCTCATTTTTTTTTAAAAAAAAGTCTATTTTTATTTATTTATTTTGGGGAGGCAGGCTAGGCAATGGGATTAAGTGACTTGCCCAGGGTCACACAGCTAGTAAGTGTTATGTGTCTGAGGCCGGATTTGAACTCAGGTCCCCCTGACTCCAGGGTGGGTGCTCTATTACTGTGCCACCTAGCTGCCTGTAAGGTTCTTGCAAGCATCAAATTATATCCTATGTGAAGGGGCAGCTAGGTGGTACAGTGGATAGAGCACTGGCACAGGAGTCAGGAGGACCCGAGTTCAAATCTGGCCTCAGACACATAACACTTACTACTGTGTGACTCTAGGCAAGTCACTTAACTCCAAACCCCCCAAAAAATTATATCCTGTATGTAAAGCTCTTTGTAAACCTTAAATGCCAACTGTAATTATTACATTGCCTGTATATCACCTCTTGGCTCATTATATAATGAGTATTTTAAATCCCACCTTTATATTCATATCATCACACTTAAACAGGACAATTATTGTATACCTGATAGTCATAATTCATATGTCATCAGCTTATTGTTGTTCAGTTGTTTCAGTCATTTCTGACTTTCTGACCCCATTTGGGGTTTTCTTGGCAAAGATACTGGAATGGTTTGCCATTTCCTTCTCCAGCTCATTTTATAGATGAGGAAACTGAGGCAAACAGGATTAAGTGACTTGCCCAGGGTTACATAGCTAGGGAGATGAGTCTTCCTGACTTTAGGCCAGGCACTCTATCCACTGAGCCACCTAAGTGCCCCTCAACTTACTGTAGTTTGAGTTATTTCTCTTCCTACCAGATTCTTCTCTTATACTTAGCCCAACTTCAACCCATTCATTATGAATGAATAAATGAAAATATCATTCTTCACTCCGTGTTCTTGGATGCTGCTCCTCTCTAACCTCAGTTTCCCCCATCTGTAAATTAGGAGGTTGGACTAAATGGCTTCTATATCTGTATCTGTATATCTATGTTGGTTTCTATTTCATTTGATCCTATGAATCTGTGATAATTCTGTATTGTTAGGATTTAAATAATCTTTGCTATATTGCTCTGAGAAGCTTTAAAAAAAAATCTAGGTGGATTATGTCCGTGAATTCCCTTTTTGTCCGTGTGTCTATGAACTGATATTAGACTGACTTTTAAAAACATGGATTTCCCTGCCACAGAAAAATTTATCTTTTCCATAATTGGTTATACATTTTTTTATTCATTTATCTTACATCTTATTATAGATTCCACTGTCTACCAGGTTTGAAAAAGAAGATTTTGGGGCTATAGAATTTTTCTTGCAAAGAGATATTATATTGACAATTAATTCAATTATTAATCCAATTCAACAAACATTTATAAAGTGCCTAACAAAAATAACCTGTGCACCAAACGTTTACTTTGTGGTTGGCATCATCCTCCGGGACTGTGGCCATTTATGATGTTATACATTTCAGCTAACAGCATTACAATTTTTCCTTTGAAACTTCTTGCTTGGATGCCACCTGATGTTTCACAAAACCTTAAGAGTTTTACAAGAATCACTCCCGGGGCAGCTAGGTGGCGCAATGGATAGAGCACTGGCCCTGGATTCAGGAGGACCTGAGTTCAAATGTGGCCTCAGACCCATAACACTTACTAGCTGTGTGACCCTGGGCAAGTCACTTAAACCCATTGCCTAACCAAAAAAAAAAAAAAAAAAAGAATCACTCCCATGTTAGTTTTCCTGGATATCTCTTCTCTCCTTCTAAAATATGACTTATCCTAGTGTTCTTCTATAGAAGTAAACTTTTTAGTCATTTTGATACTTAGATCATTTTAAGTCCCTATCTTGACAGTAATAATAACTAATGTTTATATAGCTCATAAAGTTTGTAAAATGCTTTATATAAGTTATCTCAAAAATCATTATGTCCTAGATCAGGGGTGGGGAACCTGTAGCCTCGAGGCCACATGCGGCCTTCTTGACTGAGTCCAAGTTTTACAGAACAAATCATTTTATTAAGGGGATTTATTCTGTGAAGTTTAGATTCAGTCAAAGGGTCACACTTGAGGACCTAGAGGGCCACTTGTGGCCTGAAGGCCACAAGTTCCCCACTGCTGTCCTAGATTGTCTGTGATATAGGCCTTTTTGTAAGGACAGCAGAATTTCTTGCCCCCTTTGCTTAAGCAAAAGCTTTTGTGACAGTTATCTTCATTTGTGACAAAAGAGCTTTTATAGTCACAGTAAAGTCAGGTGATACATATATTCCTTTCAAATATGCCATAATTAAGGCACTTTAAGGATAGTCACTCATCTTTCCCAGAAGTTAAAAATAAGGTTTGAGTACCTTAATGAATTATTTCCATTCAGGACTTGAATTTGTTAGGTGTCTGATAGGAAAGAAAAGCTAGCATTTTGTATATCAGGGAGGTGGTGGATAGCTCATTTAATTTTATTCAAGTTTCTCCTAATTTAGGTGTATGTGTGCTTCCACCTGACAGCTGGTTTGAACTGACCTATTGGAGTCATAGTTGAAGGGTGATAAGTAGGGGGAATTGACACTTCAGGGAAGCATTGAGGAAGAGGACCCTTTGTGCTTACATAAGGTGTATCTTTTTCTATTCCGTAATTATCTTTATTCTAAATGTTGTGGGTTCTCTTTCTTGTTTAAACTATTTGTTTTTCTCTACAGCAAGACAGATCGACTTGCCAAAGGATCAGAATGTTACCAAAAGAGCCTTAGTTTAAATCCTTTCCTCTGGTCCCCTTTTGAATCATTATGTGAAATAGGTAGGTTTGTAGAGGTGGGTTTTTTGTTTTTCCCCTGTGCTTTTTCTTTTTCTTTTTCTTTTTTTAAGAGGAAAAATATTTACCTACAGAAAAGGTTTTTCTTTCCAAAGGCTTACTGAGACAATATTGGAAGCATGATCATCAGTTGGGGTTAAATGCTTGTTGAGACTTGATTTAGGGATTTACCCCTGCTTATATATCTGAACATCTATGACTTTTTAGTGGTGAATTTGTTAGAAATATTAAATTGTTAATCTTTACTATTTAGAACTTTTTAATGTTAAGTATACTATTTCTACCATTGGGTATTGGGAATACAGTACTGGTAAGATGTGTACTTATTAATTTTTAATAAAAGATATTCACAGATTGTCAAAGACTGAAACTATTATATGGATAAAGCACGAATTCATGCTTTAAGTGGGGAGGAGAGGTACCTAAATATTTTAGGATGGCTGGAAAACTAGTGGCAAGCACATACTATAAATCAGTGCTGTCAAACTCAAATAGAAACAGAGGCCACTAAACCGTACTTAGCATGACCTGTGGGCCTCATGTTGGCTTAGAAAATCACATTAATTATATCTGTGTTTTATTGTATTCTTTATTTTTGTTAAATATTTCCCAATAATATGGGCCACATGAGAGTGTGGGCTGCTTCCAGCCATGTGTTTGACATGTGCTGTAGTTGTACTTTTATTATAACATCATATCCTCTCTCCTTGGGATTTTAGGAATGATTAAATTGCTTGCTGTGAACTAGGTAACCATTATCCCTCTTGTGTATATCCTATTCTCTCTGAAAAACAACAAAGGCAGAAATAGTCTCATTGTAGTGTGGTTTCAGCTTTATTTTAGAAAGACAAATCTGAGCCATCTGAGAAAGATGGGGGAGGAGCTGGATTAAGATAGAAAATTACAAAATCATTTGCAGTGTTCAGCGAATTTTAAGCTTGTGTACATCTTAGGTTTATTCAAGTTATTTTTGTTTTAAGTTTGAAAAGATTTTAACCATTATAACCTTGCTGGGGGGGCGGTCTTTTTGTCTTCACAGGTGAAAAGCCAGATCCTGACCAAACATTTAAATTAACGTCATTACAAAACTTTAGCAGCTGTCTGCCCAACACTTGCACAACCCTAGTATCTAATCACAATTTATATCACAGACAGCCTGAGACAGTTCTGATGGAAACACCCCAAGATACAATTGTAAGTTTTTCGAACTTTAATGTTATACAAATTAGAATCATTGATACAAACTAATACATTTTAGTTGACATGATGACAAGAGAAACAGCCTGTTATTGTGTGCAGAGTCTCTACCAAGAGTCAGAAAGTCCTGGCTTCAAGTCCCTCTGCTATGTGGGTGATCCTGGGCAAGTTACACAACTTCTCTCAGCCTTGGTTTCCTCATCTGTAAAATGAAAATGATATCAAGAATTTCACAGGTTTATTGTCAAATGAAATAACATATAATGTTTTGCCAACTTGTTTGCAAAACATGTAAAGCACCACATGTGTCGTTATTATCATAGAAATTTTCTGTTTCAGGAATTAAACAGACTGAATTTAGAATCCTCCAATTCAAAATACTCCTTGAACACAGATTCTTCAGTGTCTTATATTGATTCAGCTGTAATTTCACCAGACACTGTCCCCCTTGGAACAGGAACTACCATACTGTCTAAACAGGCTCAAAATAAACCAAAAACTGGGCGGAGTTTATTAGGAGGACCAGGCGCTCTTAGCCCTTTAACTCCAAGGTAAGGTAAATAGTGCTTATTTTGTACTATACTACAGCAGTTAACTTGAGGGCTACTAAAAATTGAAGCAAATGTTGAATCAACAACCAACTTGTTCTGTTTTCAGAAAATGAAGTAATTTAAGTACAGTAAGTGCAGTTTTTCTAATTGGATTATTAAATGTTAGATAAAATACTCTTAATGCTATGCCTTAGATATTGCATTCAGGTTTATTGTTTCTCTAGTATATGCCTGTAAATATATATTTAGTATATAGTGATGAACCTTTTGAAATGTTGCACCTTTTAAATGGCTAAATAGGGAAAATAAAATCATAGTTTGAAAATTATAATTTGCCAGAATATGCTGGAGAAAGTAGAAAGGTGTTTGAAGATCCATTGAAACCCATGGGGCTGGGCTGTTTGTGTGTGTGTTTTTATAATAGTAATTTGTGATACACCATTGAAATGCAAGTCACTATTCCCTTCTCCCCAGAGGGACCAAGAGTATGTTGGTACAAGGTTTCATATGGAAGGCACTTCTACATACTTGGCTTCAGTTGCCACAGGAGCTCTTCTGATTAGATTGTCATGACTGGCTCTTTCAAATACAGACTAAAGTTCAATTAATCTCATGACTTCAAAATTGATTCCATCAGTGGAGTGTCTTTTATGAAAGCAACTTTCTAAATTTCTTTAAGCATCTACTTCTGTCAGCAATTGCTATACAATTTAATTTTCATGCTATATTTTTAGTCTTGGGTAGAATTCAATTCACAGTCATCAATTACTGCCAAGCTACCCCTCAAATCCTCAGACTAATTGACCATTCGCTTCTTTTACTAATTTAAGTATACTTCTAATTCAAGTATACTGCTTCTTTATGTATGACTTGATGACTTTTTGACACCTTGATTTCAACCTCTTCTCAGTTTTGGGATACTGCCACTAGAAACTCCAAGTCCTGGAGATGGATCATATCTACAAAACTACACTAACTCGTCTTCTGTAATTGACGTGCCATCCACAGGAGCCCCCTCAAAGAAGGTACCTTGCCTTTGAAATGCTGTTTTGATCTTGTTTAAAAATAATCAGTTGCAAATTCTAGTCAGTTTACAAAATTAGTATTTCAGGAGTCTTAAGCAGTGTGAAAATTGACTTTCTAATTTTTCCATTGTGGCAAAGGGAGCATGTCAAGACATGATGATGGCATTTCCTTGAGGGTTGTACAACTAAAAAGGTACTTAAAAAGTAAAAGCAAAGGAACCCTAGTGGGAAAGATAGCAGCTTGGGGAACCTGGGAAGGCCTCATTGTGAAATGTGGCTTTTGATCTGAGTCCTAAAGGAAACCAGGGATGCTAAGAGACACAGATAAGGGAGAGCAATCCACATATTGGGAAGAGCCAGTGCAAAGGCAAAGAGATGAGAAATGAAGCGTCCTGTGTAAAGTACAAAAGGGAGGCCAGTATGGCTGGACGATAGCAGTATGTGGAAGAGAGTAATGAAGAAGGCTGAAAAGGTTGTGAGGAGCTTTAAATGCCAGATGACTAATATTTGATCCTAGAATAGTTATTATGGAACTACTGGAGTTTATTGAGTAGGGCAGTCAGGGAAGAGAGGGTAAGTACACTTTAAGAAAATCACTTTGGCAGTTATGTAGAGGGATAGTTTGGAGAGAAGAAAGACCTGAGTCAGGAGACCAACTCAAAGACTATTATAATAGTCGAGATGAGGGTTGAGGAGGGCCTGAACTAGAGTGATGGCTGTGTGAGTGGAGAGAAGGTACATATATGAGAGATGTTGTAGAGATAGAAATGCAAGATTTGACAATTAATTTGATGTGTATGAGGGCTGAGTGAAAGTGATTAGTCCAGGCCAACGATGTGGTTGCAAATCTGAGTAACTAGAAGAATGGTGCTGCCCTCAAAAATGATGTAGAAATTTGAAGGGTGGGTTTGGGGAGGAAAAATAATGAGTTCTCTTTTGGGCATGTTAACTTTGAGATGCCTCTGGAGCAGCCAGTTCAAAATAGAAACAGGATAAATATTTGTTGGTTGATATAAACTCTCTGGGCCTTAGTTTTTCTCATCTGTAAAATGAGGAGTTAGATCTGATTTCTAAAAGCCTTTCCATCTCAAAATGGTAAGATTTATAGTCTAGAGTAGCTCAATATGAGTACTGAAACTTATAAAGTTACTAGGAAAAGGTCATCGGAGCCATTTATGTGATGTCAAGGAACATTCTCTAGGCTAAATAAAAAAAAATATGCATTATCAGTCTAAGAATATATACTCATACGTGGATGTTTTCCCCTTTTAAAGGAAAATTTGGAATATATAAATGAATTAGCTCAGAATTAATTTGTTCATTGATTAAAACCAGTTTTTAAGTCCTCGAGTTTATTAATGGCTAGTGTTCCAGAAGTTCCTCATTTAAGTTAATTGTTTAAAATTTGCTATGCATTTTCCCATAGAAAACTATGTTTTACTTGGTGACTAGTTTTCCTGGGTTAAGTTCCTCCAAAGCCTGTTTAATCCATAACAAAGCTCAGTTGTAGTAATAACAATCTGAGTTTGGAGTCTTGAAGGCCAGAAGTCATTCCTTCTCCCTTCCTAAGCACGTGGATAGTCCTCGGCAAAAAAAAAAATATTAAATGGTTAGATTTAGCATTGATATCTTCCCACTTCCTTTTCCTCTACCCATCTCTCCCAGGTACCCAGTGTTCTCCTGTTGCCTTTAGTCGCCACTTTGTAAGTCTACCCCGTTATGTCTCAACTCACCATTTCTTTAACTTTCCAAATCAAAATATCCTTCCTAGTATACCACACTCTTATTTGTTGTCTCCCTCTACAGAATGTAAGCTCCTTGGGAGCAGGGCCTGTCTTCTTTTTTGTTTTTGTATCTACAACATTTAGGACAGTACTTGGCATATCTTAAGGCCTTATCTTTATCCAAAAATCCTTCCCTTTCGCCCAGTCTCCAATTAGAGAAAAGCTTCTCAAATATTTCTTATTAAATTGTGAATTACTGTCTTTTTTCTTTTCTAATCTTTGAACCCAACTGAATCTCTAATTCAGTCAGTGTGAAAGTAAAGTGAAATTAAAATTTCAATTAGTGTTAGCCTAATTTTAAATGGTGGGTGTAAGTAATTCCTGCATCCTTCACCATACAGGTAAGCTGTCCCTGCCTAGATTTTTGCCCCTGAACTTAGCTCCCCAAAACTGTTCCTATTTTTCACTTTTTCTTCACTCCTCCACTTATGAACTCACAGATTTTCTAAAAGCTCCAAGAAGCTCACATGGCTATGATAGGGCTTCTAGTGTTAGGGACTCATCTAGAGAGTGATGACAGCTCTTTAGGTATGTGGAGGAATTGCCTATAATTGTATTGTTATTGTATTTGAATGGCTATGCTAATTTGTGATACTCATAAAGTTGTGCTGTTTTAGGAACTGTGAGAATATAAATGAAATATAAAGTGTGGTCCCTTCCTAAGGACATTAGATTATAATTTAGGAAATATGGAGATATAGGCCTTGACTTACTTGATCAGTTCTTGAAGGATTGCTAAGATTTGGAAAGACAGAAGGTGGGAAAAGGGATGAATGTATGTATAAGTATGATAATGTGGTCAGGTCAAGGTGAAGCTATTGTAAATTAATTTTTTATTCAAAGTTAATACCATTTTAGTCAATATAATGTCTAATTTTTGTGGACCTGTATGAATTTGAATATCTAATTAAAAGTAACTAGTTATACTTAGTTTTGGTGTTTTTAAGTTAATAGGCATTTTAGGTAAACAGCCTTTTCTATGCCCTGAATAGAGTTAATATTAGGTAGTGGTAGGACAGGTTTGAGTAAGCAGGGTAATACCAGATCATGGATAGCCTTAAAAGCCAAGTAGAAGACTAGACAATGGAAGCAGTGGATGTAGGTCTGTGGGTGTTTTGGTTTTTGGATTTTTTTTTTAAGCAAAGCAGAAAAGTGATGAAATTATTGTTTTAGGGAGAGTAATAGCAGTGGTATAGAGGGAAAAGAGATGTTGTTGGGGTAATCTAAGTATGAAGTGAGGTGGCACATCATGGGAAATTTCAGAAAAAGAAGTAACAGATTAGTCACAGAAGATAAAGTATCCTGGCAGGCCATAGGTGGCAGTAGATCAAAAGAACTGGGTTAAAATTGGGGTTTGGAAAGTTATATATGTAGGAAACACAAAGGTCAAGAAGACAATAGGTCAAAGGCCAGATAAATAGAAATCAAGGGAATACAGGTGATTGAATACAGAAAGTTATCAAATGGGAAATCTGTAAGAGCTGAAGGAGGTAGAGAAATACATATGATCAAATACCTGATAATACTGCCAGCGGCCTAAAGAGCACAGACATTAAGGAAGCAAAGGGGAAAAGCAAACTAGTGAACAGGCACATACCATATAAGCACCTTGGCTGCTGTTATTTTCCTTCTTATCTTGAAGAGTTGATCCTGAGCAAACCTGAGTAGAGGCCCTCAGGTGAAGACAGCTAAAAATAGCCAACTTGATAGTAAGTATGGGGGAAATTCTGATAGATGAAAGGAAGTAAATTTTGACTGTAGGGTTTGAGCATGAATGATGATGAAATTGATGTTGAATATAGTGAGCTTGTGGTGGTGGGACATCTTGTGTTTAATAGGAGGTTGGAAATAAGAGAAAGGAGTCTAACCTAGTGGTAACCATTTGGAATTATCAACAAACATAGGGGAAGCCATGAAAACAAATGAGTTCTATTAAGCAAAAGAGTAGTCATAGGGCTGAAGAATAGGTAGTGTCCTCAGGGAGAAGAAATAAAAGAATAAAGATAATGTCCTTATTATTAAAGTCAAGGATGGAAAAGTCTTTCCAGAAGGCTATGGTGGAGGGTCTGGAGGCAGAGGGATGGAGTCAGCAGTGTTGAATATTGACCTAGAGAGGTCAAACAGAATCAAAACATAGAAAAGACAATTGGATTTAACCGGAAGGTGGTTTAAGAGCCTATAAGGTAATGGGAGGCCAATCAATATCAAATTATGGAAGGTTGGGTTAAGGAATGGGAAATGCACTGGGAAAGGTGGGGAGAAGGGAAAGGGTATGGAAGCAGCAAATATAATACATTTGTTTAAGAAATTTGGCTGTGAAAGGAAGTAGAAATAGAATATATATAGCGGGAACAGCAAGGTCAAGTGAAGGTTTTTTCCAATCTAGGAGAGACAGTGGAAGGAGAGAGATTGGAGATGCTGGAGAGCAATGGATAAGTTCAGGAGCAACGCTACTCAGAAATTGGGAAGTATTGGGATAGAGCTCTCTCCTTCATAAATTTCTATAGTACTTATTATCTTTTCTATTTATTTGGCCCTCAGCAGATAACTTCTTTCTATTATTCCTTATCTTTTTGTGTATATAATTCCCTTGTCCAGATTGTAAATCCCTTGAGGGCAGGGATTGAGTCTATTGGTTCCTGTATCCCCTAGTTTAGGTACTTAGTGCCCTACCCATAAGTATCTAGTTAATATATATAGATTTCATAGGGGAGTTTCCTTCTGTGTTTGATGTAAGAAGTAGTATAGAGATGCAGTTATATTGAGAGGAGGGTGAAGATACTCTCTATGTCTGAGCTTAGGTGAAGTAGAAATAATGATTTAATACTCTCAGCTACAGCAGTGGTCATATATGCTAGGAGACCTTTGTACATGTATCTGGAAAAATATATGACTAAGTTTGTGATTCACAGTGCGATTATTGCCACAATAGCAAACATAAAAATTTTGTGTTATGCAGTCTGTTGGCAGAATCAGCCAAGCTGGAACAAAGTCTGTCTTCTCACAGAGTGGAAATAGTCGAGAGGTAACTCCAATCCTTGTTGCACAAACACAAAGTTCTGGCCCACAGACAAGGTATTTATTGGTATTTTTCTCCTACATTTGTCTAGTTTTCTTTGCAGTTCTTACCCTGAGGCACCATGGTTTTTCATAGTTTCTTGATCTAGGGCAGGTTTTGACTTTTCCAGTGTTTGGAATCTCAACATGACTTTTTAAAACATAAAATTGCCCAGTTTTGAGTTTTTATGCATCTTTATATAATTTACATTGAATCTGAAGCAAAACTACACTGTCCTTGCTTCAGTAAAATGATTAAACTTGTATAACTAGTGTATTTTAAACCTTTTTTCATTGAATTCCTATTGCAATTAAAAATAAAAGGCTGCCAGCTAATTAAAACATCTTAAACCTAACTAATCATCATGTAAATTTATATCCAAAGTAAACATTTCAAATTGCCCAGATAAAGTATTTTCTGCCTATATATGTGTTTTACTTAAAGGGTTGATTTTTGGCAGTCTCTACCCTTTCTTGTGTTTGATTTCTGAAAACTATGCCCGTATGTGGGTCTTTGGAATAAGGCTCCAGTTTTCTTAAAAGAACTTATATATGAATGAGGGGTACATTCCTGATTTGGCAATGAATAAATCATAAATGGGAATAATAGTGTGTCATAACAAAGATACAACAACAATTGAACAGCATATCTATTACTTCAAATAATAAACTCATATTCTGTCATAAAATAGACAAAAATATAATAAAAGTAATGTAATAATACCTGATATATTTATGTTGTACATTAAAGTTTATAAGGTTTATCAGATTCATAACTCCTCTGTGAGGTAGGCAATACACAAGATACTATTATACCCATTTTACAGATGAGGAACTGAGGTTCAAATAAGTTAATAACTTACCTATAAGTCAGATAGCTGTTATGTTGGATTTGAACTCAGGCCTCTCTTAACTCTGTACCTTGACTATAAGGAATATATAAAAATACAGTCATACTTTATCAAAAATTCAGCCTAAAACTATTATGATGGCTATATTAAATGTTAATTAAAGACTTAATTAACAATAGCCCTGTTTGCCTTCTTAGAATTGGAGGGGGGGGGAATTAAGTATGATTCATATAGCCTAAGTGTCTCCTTAAAAAAAAAAAAAGTAGCCCGAGGCAATTTGAGGTACTTACTTTTTCCTCCAAACATCAATTGTCCTATAGCAATGTTCAGGATTTTCCTCGAAGTGCTTTATTCCTTCTTGAGAATCTATTGACAACTGTAAGAGCATTTCAGACTTCATTAGAAAGCCATAAAACAGGGCATTAACAAAGGAAGCAGAAATTTTGAAGCATATCTCCCAGAATCAATTGATAAAGCTAGATTTGGGCAGCATCCTGATTTTTCTTGCACCTCCCCAGTATTGGAATAAAAACATTTAGCATTTGTGTATACGTTCAAGAGAGCACATTTTGAGAAGCAGGGAGAGATGAATACCTCTGTTGTTTAGGATGGTGTTCTTCCTATGAAGTTACTTTGGCTAAGAGTTTTGGTGCTAATTCAAACTTGACTTCGATTTCAAAAATATGTCACCGTTTAGCAGTGCTCACAGAATTTAGTCGTGCAGACTCCCATTTACACAGCCTGTTTATATGTATGCACTTGATATAGCATTACCCATGTTTCAGCTCACTCACTCCATACCTTCCCATTTAAAGGCTAAATACCTCGCATTTTGCTGATTTTTTTTTTCCTGTGGAATTCCAGAGACTTTATAACCACCAGTGTCTTGGGCAAAACCAAGAAAGAAGACATTTTTCTTTGGCACCTTCCATATCTTACCACCTTTCCTCCAATCCCCACCCCTAGAACAGTGTTCTCTTGTGGTTCAGAGTCCCCCATTTGTGCATCCCTTTCCACAAATAGCCTTTTCAGGACCTGTCTTCCCAGACTGTTTCCTTTTAAAAAAGCTGCTTTCCTCCTATCCCTTCCCTAAAATCATATGTCTCCCAGAATTTCCCTCTAGCCTTCAGAGGCTTTCAGAAAGATTTTTTTCTGATTGGAGGTCTGATTTAAAACATTATCATTTATTATTGAGGATGACTGACTAATAGGTTTAATCTTGCCAATGGATATCTGCATTTTAAAGGGAAATTTGTCAACCCAAACAAATAGCCAATCAGATGATGACATAGGGAAACTATTTTTGAACAGGGATACTTTTCACCTACCCCTAATCTGTTCTAGGCTTCTGCTACTTTCTCTGACGCTCCTGATTCCCAAGGACAAGTTAATGGGATAGGGAGGAAGATGATCTCTTTCCTGTTGTTTCTATTTTTCCAAAAGGAGTAGAGATAACTCTTCCACCTTTCCTTCTACATATTCCCCCACTTATCTGGTATCTGGTGCCCCTGGGCACTTACCAGTGGTCTATTTATGAGAGATTTGTAGCCACAACCAGTTTCTTCCATAGGCTGAATGTTGCCATCATGTTGTCATAGTACCAGACCACTGTCTTCCAATGGGTCTTTAATGAAAATTTGCTCCCTGCTCCCCACCTCCTCCTTCCAAAACCCTTTTCTTCCTTCACGTTGCCACCTCTTCTGTGAATCCTTCCCTTATACTTTTAGTTAGAAGTGATTCCTCATTTCTTCTCATACCACTCTTACTTTTCCTATGTATTTCTCTAACATAGACATTTAGGTATTTATGTATGTGTCTTGTCCTTCCTTTCTCTTCCCACCTCAACTCTCCATCCCCACCACACACATACATACAATATACTAGATTGTAAGCTCTTTGGAGAGCAGGAATTGTGTCCTTTTTCATCCTTGTGTCCCTAGCACATAGCATAGAGCCTCATAAGGAAGGGTACTCAAGGCATGAATGTTTGTTGTGTTCAGTGGTGTTTTTTTTTACAAAGGCATTAATTCCCTGCGTAATTTGGAGTTTGATATACTCACTTTTGTCTAACACTTTGTAGTTTTCAAAGCTCTTTCACATATATTATTTCATTTGATCCTCACAACAACCCTGTGAGGCATCTCCATTTTACAGATGAGGAAACGGGGGCTCAGAGCAGTTAAGTGACTTACCCCAAGCTTTGCTGGCTTGTGAACTTGGCATGGTCTTCTGACTCCTAGTCTAGTGGGCTATAAAAGTTCTATTTTCTTAAGCACAAAAAGCCTTGTGGTGATGCATTGGTGTGGTTTGAAGAATTCTTTTGAGGAGGTGATATACATGTTAAAATTAGTGTTTATGTTAGCAACAATTTCAGAATGTATTCTTGGCGCAGCTGTTTTCCTACTGCCTTAGTCTTACTATATACTGAAGATAAATATTAAGATAAAATGGATTATGAATGAGTTTGTTGCCCTAGAGTCTTAGTGCATGTTATGAGGTTTAGAATAGCAATTTCAAATACAAGGTTGCTGTGCCCAGCAGTGTTACTGTAACATACAAAATTTAAATGTTGCACTTTCACAGAAATAGGAAAAAAAGCCAAAGTCATAACCTCTTGAGTTCACATCTGATTTTCTTAGTATCTCTTGAGTTGAAACAGTAATTAGCATTTTAACTTTTAAGATGAATTTTTAAAAGTATATCATTTCTTTAATAAACCTTTTTTTTAATAGTACAACACCTCAGGTATTGAGCCCCACTATTGCTGCTCCACCCAATGCACTGCCTCGAAGAAGTTCACGACTTTTTACTAGTGACAGCTCTACAACCAAGGTAACTGATTTAATGCTTACTCTACTGCAGAATTTTTGTTCATTGAGTCCTCCATCTCTAGTAGATAGTTACTTCTTTAAGTGATCATTTTGGAAGTTAAAATCATTCTAGGTATTCAAAACTATTTATCACTCTTTCTGTGGGTTTTTTGGTTATTGTTGGTTTTGTTTTGTTTTGTTTTTGTTTTTGAGACTAGGTTTCCCTATCTTGCCCAGACTGGAATTGAAGCTGCTACTCACAGGCCTGATGCCAATCCTAATATGGAAGCTTTTACCTGCTCTGTGTTTCTAACCTGAGCCAGTTTGTTCCTCCTTAAACAGCCAGATGATCCCCAACTCCGGGGGCCTGGTCATATTAGTGCCAGACTTAGTGTAGACACCTTATTGGCTTTAGTGCAACTATAGCTCAGCTCCCAAACTCAAGAGTTCTACCATCCTCTCCCAATACCACCTGTGTGCACTGCCATGCCTGGTCTTAAAAACTATCTGTGACAAGCCTTGTGGGTCCCTTATTAAGTCATCCTATGGATGGGGAAACATTGTATGGTTCTTAATGAAGGTCACTTAATATTGGCAATTAGTTCATTAGCCTTCAAGTACCCATGTAGTATTTCATATGCTTTTTTTCTTCTTTTGATAAATTAAAGCATATATGTACGTGCCACCAGCAACTATACTTCTGTTGACTGATTATAATGACTTTGATTTGTCAGTCTGCCTGTTGTTGCATTTAAAATTAGTGATTAAAGAATATATTCCTTGTGAAAAAGCTTATTTCCTAAGGGGAAATTTATGTAAAATCCCATGTATCACAAAAAGCAGTGACAGTCCTAGGAAGAAGTTGATAGCTAGTGCCATTTATCTCATGGAAGACAATATTTAGCTTGTTCAAATATGCACATCTGTTTATATTCCAGTTATCTGGGATATCTATAGGGTGTCCCAAAAGTCTTTTTTTTCCTCTTTTTGCAGGAGAATAGTAAAAAGTTAAAAATGAAGTTTCCACCTAAAATTCCAAACAGGAAAACAAAAAGCAAGACTAATAAAGGAGGAATAACTCAACCAAACATAAATGATAGCCTGGAAATTACAAAATTGGACTCTTCTATCATTTCAGAAGGAAAAATATCCACCGTAACACCACAGATCCAAGCTTTCACTATTCAGAAAGCAGCAGCAGGTCTGTTTTAAGTCTTTTATAATGTCTTTACATTTGCTTCAAGTAGATTCACTTGTCATTTTAGATTATTTACGCTACTTTCATTCAGATGCCCTAATGTCTTCCATTACTACCCTTTCTTTAGAAGTTGTTGTTCAATCATTCATTTGTGTTCAACTCTTTGTGACCCCATGGATCATGGCTCATTAATACTGTCCAGGGGGTTTTTTTGTCAGAGATACTGAAATGGTTTGCCATTTCCTTCTCCAGTGGATTAAGGCAAACAGGTTAAGTGACTTGCCTACGGTCACACAGCTAGTAAGTGTCTGAGGTTGAATTTGAACTCAGGTCTTCCTGATTCCAGACCCAGTTCTCTATCTACTGAGCCACCTGCCTACCTTTTCCTTAGAAGACCATGAGACTTTTCAGGACATAGTAGCTATATTCATGTACTATACTGTTCTGCTGTGCTCTTTTACTTTATTTACTGTATTGTTTTCTCCTAGAAGGTTTGATGAGCCTTCTTCGTGATATGGGGAAAGGTTACTTAGCTTTGTGTTCCTATAACTGCAAAGAAGCGATAAACATACTGAGCCACCTCCCTTCTCACCACTATAACACTGGTTGGGTCCTGTGCCAGATTGGAAGAGCATACTTTGAACTGTCAGAATATATGCAGGTGGGTATAGAAACACATATGTACAAACAACGCATACAGACAGACAGAGATAGTGAAAATTTCCAGTTTAATCCCTGGATAAGGCTAAAATATTTAGAATATAATGTCACTGCAATAGTATTATGATTTTTCTCCTTCTTTATAACTTAAGGGAAACTGTTCTTCCTTATTTTGAAAAGTAGATAAGTTTATCTCTTTTGGGATTGTACAAGGCAAAGATGGAAAATTTACACATTTCCAGGGTAGTCTATTATAACTAATATTTATATAGTACTTTAAGATTTATAAAGCACTTTTCTTTACAGCCAAGTGAGGTAGAAAGCAGAAGTACTAATATCCTCAGACCCAGAGAAGTTAAATGACTTCTGCCCCCTGTAAAGGACTGCTGAAACCATGGGAATACAGGAGATATCCAAAGTGCTTTATGCAAACTTGATTATTAGAGTGAATTTCTGGTATATAAGAATAAGTTTTGCATGTTAGATACATAGCATGAAAAAATAATCATCAAGATTTTTATTGTTATATTTTTCCCCCTTCCCCCTTTTTCTTATCAGTTTTGATGGAAGAAAGAGCATTATTTAATCAAAGTGAACAATGCACCAAAAACATAATTTCTCTTCCTCCCAAAAAGATTTTGTGTGGTAACAATACTAATTGATTTATTTTTAAACATAGAACATTTACAACTAATAGTCAAATTGCCAAATTTGCTATATTTATTAATGGATGTTCACATAATTTTTATTTAGAGGTAAAAGCAGTATTGCTAGATAAATATGCTCAGAGAACATATTGTACCATAGCAAAGCATAGAGAGCAAGCTTTGAGTCTTGACCTTATATATAGGACCATAGCATTTAGAACTAGAAAAAACCTTTAGAGAGCATTTAGGATCAACCAACTCATTATATAAATGAGGCTATACATGTATGTGTTGTTTAGTCCTTTTCAGTTGTGTCCAACTCTTCATGACCCCATTTGAGGTTTTCTTGACAAAGATACTGGAGTGGTTTTTCATTTCCTTCTCCAGCTCATTTTACAGATGAGGAAAGTGAGGCAAACAAGGTTAAGTGACTTGCACAGGGTCACACAGCTAGGAAGTGTTTGAGGCCAGATTTGAACTCAGGAAGATGAGTCGTTCTGACTCCAGGTCTGGCACCCTATCCACTGCGCCACCTAGCTGCCCCTTTGCAAATCTTAAACACTTTATAAATGCTTTTATTGTTGTTAAAAACAAATAATACAATTTGAACAGGGAGTATATGAAGGAGAGTAATGTGAAATAAGTATAGAAAAGGACATTGTGCAATGTACTGAATGTCAGGCTAAGAAGTATTTTTCTTATAGGCAACAATCTCAGGAGATTTTTGAGCAGTAAAGTAACATGGACAGGTTTATGGTTTAGGAATATATTTTTGACAGTTGAACTAAGGATGTCCTGGTCTACTGGGATCTTAGAAAGGATGACTAAAGTAGGAATTTAGGGGTATCTTTATGTTACTTGAAATCTTGGACTTCAGGGGAAAAAATGTCAAATTTCTGGGACTCATAATAGTGGAGTGGATGATCTTCAGACTGATAGGGAGCTCTGACTTTTTGGTAGTTCCTGTACTTCATTCAATGAATACTTATTGAATGCCTCTTTTGTGCACTATGCTGTGCCAAGCACTCTGAGGGGGGATACAAGGGTGAGTTAAGATGTTTTTCCTTCCATCAGATCTTATCATCTAGCCTGGGAAGTAAGAAGTACACATACAAAGCTTGTACATGACAGTGCCTTTAGAGCAGTGCAGGCAGTGTGATCTGTATGCACTGAGGTGTTCTGTTTTGTTCTTTCTGACTAGTTTCCATTCCTATTTCAGGCAGAACGAATATTCTCAGAAGTGAGACGGATTGAAAATTACCGAGTAGAAGGCCTGGAGATCTATTCAACAACACTTTGGCATCTTCAAAAAGATGTTGCTCTTTCAGTTCTTTCAAAGGACTTAACTGACATGGATAAAAATTCACCTGAGGCATGTTGATGTTAACACTTTTATATGTAGAGTCAAATCTTGACGGTCCCTACAGAGATTGGGGGAGGGGGAACGACAATGGGATGGCAGTAACCATTTCCTGTTGTTCCCGCCCACGTACAAACTGAAATCCTAGCTCTGCTAATTCTGTCTGCGTGAGTATGGGCAAATGATTTAATTTCCCTAGGCCTCAGTCTCCTCTTTGTAAAATGGAAGGGGCGGTTGCTTAAACTTCCTTCCAGCTCTGAATCTTACAGTCATTTCCATGCACCCATGCCAAGATCCAAATGTGCCACAATAGTGAGTAGCGGAGTGCCGTGCACATAGTGGGTGCTGTTGAATTGAATGTAAATTGTTGAGATGAAACCCCATAAAATCAGTAAATTACAAGGCAGGTAATCTCATTATTAATCAAGAGAATTGACTGGAATATTATTGCTGTTAATGAGATGTTTCATGAAACAGAACATGTTTAGTTGAAACACTCATTCACTCATTCATTCATGAACACTTACTAAGTCTTTATAGCTAGTTGTTCTTCCCTTCTTTCATTTTTATAATTCAGTAGTATCTGCAAAGTATAGTGACAGTACACTCTTACACTGATGCGCTAGAATAAAGAATACCATTCAGACTGACAAATTGAATTAGCTCTATGATATAAAAAGAGTTTAGGATTTTTGTGAGTTTAGGTATTTTTGTTATGTAAACACATGTCTTAGATATATTTTATTATGTTTCATTAGGCCTGGTGTGCTGCAGGAAACTGTTTCAGTTTGCAAAGGGAGCATGATATCGCGATTAAATTCTTCCAGAGAGCTATCCAAGTTGATCCAAATTACGCTTATGCCTATACACTGTTGGGGCATGAATTCGTGTTAACTGAAGAACTAGATAAAGCATTAGCCTGTTTTAGAAATGCAATCAGAGTCAATCCTAGACATTATAATGCATGGTAAGTAAATATTAAAACATCTTAATTACAATGTTGATATTTCAGAAAGTTTTCTGTTGTATTATTTCTGAAAGTTGCTTTAATGTAGTAAACTATTACCCATCAAAGGTCTTACATGCAACAACACTTGGTGGTGGTTAAATGTTTAGCCAAATTGTTTTTTATATGAAACACACATAAAATTAAACCTTAGCTGAGCCTAATCATAAAACTATTAGAGAAAACATCAAATTTTCATTTTAACTTTTATCCATACCAAGTGTCCTAATGAGGGCTGCTAATAACTAATAACAACTAATTTGTTATTTCCATTTTTATTAAAGCATTAGAATGACCAATAGTTGAAAGGTAAGAAGAAAACTGGAAGGGAGCAAGGGGCTTAGGTAATTCACCAACTGGATAAATGGCAGCTCAGCTATATTGAAAAATATTCCTGATGTGGTTCCAGCCAAATGACATTTAATTTTTATTTATTTCTATAGCATCCACTTTCTTTGATATTCCTTGGGGAAACAATTCTTTCCAGTCTTATTTCTTACAAATATAAGAAAGGTTTTTGTTTTTCTCTCCTTCCCTCAGCACTGTATTTGTCAGCCAACTACTTACGGTTTTGCCTGATTGAGTTAAAAGACTAAGTGATAAGGGGAGAGGTGTTGATGTAATTCAGTTAAATAAGATTTTGTTAATAAGTGATTGTAATTTGATAATATTGAAAATTGCTCAGTAATATATAAAGCTTTAAATCCATTTCTTTCTGTTGGGTTTTATAATTAGTTCAATTTTATCTTTCCATTTGGTCTTAAATACGTAAGATAGCTGATCTTAGATGTTTTGTGTTGTTCTTCAACATTCACTTTTATAAGACTTTGAGTTCCAGATTTTTTTCTCCTTCCCTCCCTTCCCACTCCCCAAGATGGCAAGTAATCAGTATATAGGCTATACATGAACAATCATATTAAATGTATTTTTGTGTTGTTTTTAAATACAAATACTGTTTACCTGATATAGTCATGTAACTACATTGCTATGGAAAGCAAAAACATAGAGTAGATTTCCAACACATTTAACATGTAAGCTACTATATTGCTTCCTTGTTAAAATATTTTCTAAAGTTCTGCATTTTTTATTTTTCATAAAATTTTGAAGATAAGTACCTAACTGCATGGACTCTATTAATATTACATGTTTCTAAAAGTAGTTAGCTACCCACCTTACTAGTTTGCTTTTCACCTCACTACGAGATCACCAATGTTTTGTCACTGACTAATTCCTTTTCATTGAAGTCCCAGGGTATGAATTTTGGTTACATCTTCAGCAAGATTAGCATCTAAAAATTCCTAGCAGTTGAACTGAAATAACGCTTTCTTTTGTACTTGCAGGTATGGGTTGGGAATGATTTATTACAAACAAGAAAAATTCAGCCTTGCAGAAATGCATTTCCAAAAAGCACTTGATATAAACCCTCAAAGTTCAGTTCTTCTTTGTCATATTGGAGTTGTAAGTAGCTTTCTGTTTTAAACCAATTCAGTACACATTTATTAAGCACCTGCAAAGACGATGCAAAAGGAAGCTGGGGTGGCTGGGGGGCAGGGATGATGTTCCAAAGAGTCAAAACCAAACAGCTGCTGCTAAAAAATGGAGTTATCTGGAAAGTTCAGTTCTGAGCCCTCTTTAAAGGAAGGATTTGGGAGGAATTTAATGCTCTACCCTTCAGCCCTCTAATCAGAGGAAGAGGCAGCTGAGGGTGTTGTATCAAAAATTGAATCAGCAGGTGATTTCAGGTGATCAGCTTATCCTGAGAGGCATGTCTTTTTTTGTTTGTTTGTTTTGTTTTGTTTTTTAATACATATTATCTGAGTAAAAAATGCTATTCTTTCCCCCCCTTCCCCCCCAAAAATATGGAAATTCATTTAAACAAATTCAACTAAACAAACCCTTATTTAGTGGCTGCTCTGTGCAGAGCACTGTGCAAATTCTAAGGGCGATACAGAAATCTGCTAACTCCTCAACAAGTTACTGTAGAATAAGGAAACACGAAATGCCAAATAATACATTTACAACAGAAACTTCATGAAGCCAAGGGTAGGCTGCTTATGTGTTTTAAACACCTAGTATTTAGGATCAGGAAAACTTCCAAACAATTGAAGCTATCTAAAAGTAAGATGGGCTGCTTCAAGAGATAATAGTTTCCTACTTCATTGGAGTTCTTTCAGGAGAGACTGGATGACCACTTTTTGGATATTTTATAGGAGATTCCTTTTGGTTTTAAGTTAGATTAGCTGGCTTCCAAGGACCCTTTCAACTCTCAATTTCTGTAATTCTGGTCTTAACTTTCTGTGTAGCACAGTTTGTGTACCTGATAAAAAACAATATTTCCTAGAATCATTGCATAGACAGTGGCTTAACAATCAGAAGTAGGCAATACTTTCATGCTTTCTATTTCTCATTATTGGTGTTTTTGTTTTGGTTAAGCCTCACACCAACGTTCGTCCCATTCTGACATCTTTAGAAGGAGTGTGACAGTATATAGCCAGAAACATAGAAATGAATTTTGCGAACTGTGCTGTTATCTTTTGATCATTGATTCAATCTCTCCAAGTTTATTTTTTTCACCTTAAAAAATGGATAATAATATTTCTAACTCGCGGAATTTTGAAGAAAGCATGTTTTGTAAATGGAAAAATACTACATAAATGTGAACCATTTTTGTTCTTTTTAACAAATTATCTGGATGATAATGCTAGATAAGTATTCATTTACCTTGGCATTTCCTAAAATCATTTAGCCATGTAACATTTTGGACCAGAACCCATAATTGCTGGTAGGAATCTGGGAATATGGTAAAGGTGACACTAGACATATTAGAGCAGAATCAAAGAAATTATGCTTATTTTTATTTTGGAAAAATTGTTGCACACCAAATAATGTTTTATATATACATAATTTCATATTCATTATTTTAGAGGAGAAAGGTATTAATTAGTATTATTACTGATCTCTCTAAAATTTGGGTTTTTGAATTGTGAAGAGAAAACAAGAGTATCACTTTTTTGCATAGATTATATCAGATGCTTGCCCAGCAAGCACAACCATAATCTTTGATGCAGGTACAATCTCACTACTTAGAAATTCTGTGAGTGGCCAGTGAAAACATCTAAACAGTCTGACCAAATAATAAAGATGGCTCCATTTAACTACCTTGGTTGTGTGTGTGTGGGAGGGTGTTCATTTTTTTTATAATAGATTTGGTTCAACACTACATTATACTATATTTCCTTTTGGAAAATTGAAAGAGCGTAAAACTTTATTCTCTTAATATTTCTTATAGGTTCAGCACGCACTAAAAAAATCTGAAAAGGCTTTGGACACCTTAAACAAAGCTATTATTATTGATCCCAAGAACCCTCTATGCAAATTCCACAGAGCCTCGGTTTTATTTGCCAATGAAAAATATAAGGTAAATTAGGCAACAGTTAGTATAAAATATTGTATAAAAGTTAGTATAAATGTTGATTGACTGATTAGTTAGTTGGTATATGGGGTCTTCCTCTGGATGGTTATTGTTTTCTAGCCTGGACTTTCTGTAATTTGAGTCTTGTTTTCTTTTTATAGTCTCAAAGTCTAAGTTAGACTTTGGCTTCTTTCTGAACTGTAGGATTACCATTTTTTTCAGTACTTAATATTGGACATTTTGTTACATAAATGACATTTCTATACTTCTTTTTACTTCATTTTTAATGTTTCACTCTTTGGAGCACCCACAGATATTTATAAGTTGATAGAACAGATTGTTTTGCCTTTGAGGTACTAACCTTCTTAAATCAGGTAAGGTAGATGTGAACTAGACATTTAAGCATTGAAATAAATGCATAAGTAACAATAGAATATGCCTTTTCTCCAGTTTTATTCTCTTCTATTGGAAGGAGGAGCTAAAGTGTAGGGTAAAAATTGATAGAAGAAATTGTAATGAGGAGAGAAGTGGGTGAAGAAGGAGGGAGGAGGAAGAGAACAGAAGAAAATTGAGAAGAGACTTACATAAAATAATGCAGTTGATTTTTTTCTTGATTCAGTCTGTCATAAGCAGCCAGAAGTTGAGACAGAGAACCAAAGGAATTCAGATTAGTTTCTTACTGAAAACTCTTAGTGCATAGAAAGAAAAGGAGCCAGAAACTTCCATTTTAATTGAATCTTTCTTCCTAGAAGTTTGTTTCTTGCCCGTTCTTGTCCCATTGGTTTTTATCTTGTCACACAACATTAAATGTTCCTAAAAAGAATTTTCTACATAAAGACATTTGAGTGTCACATCACAAGAACCTATGATTTTATCTGTAGACTACTTGTAGACTTCCACTGATGTAGACTACAATTCTTGTACTCCTTAGTGGATAATTTCATGAGTTGCTCTGATCAAAAATAATCACCATTTGTTGGCCAACTCTGGTGATAAACCTACCTACATTTTGGCTGGTCAGTTTGTAACTGAACCTGTGATCAAGCTTAGTAGGACCTGCTGGAATTTGTGCTCAGCTGGCATAGCATTTGAGAATTCTAGGTTGTTTCTTTGCTATGACAAGGCAAGGATGAAGACTTTAATGGAGTCAGCATCTCTCTAACTTGTCTAGCTATTATGCTGCTCTCCTATTCCTCTTTTGATACCATCTTTGGACAGTAATAGACACTTGCTAGTCCTGCTATCTCTCTCTGCTTAATTTTGATCCTTTCTCAGAAATCTAAGTATTACTTTTCTACTTTAGGCTTTCCCTTATACTTTCCTCTTTGACATTTTTGACACTGTAATCTACCATATTTTTTGGTCTCATGTCATCTTATTTCTGTTACTATTATTCAGTTTATGCTTCAGTGAGGATTTCTATTTTCTCAAGAAAATGGCTTCTTTCTTTTGCAATTATGCCAGTAGAGGGATTTGATTTAAATTTATTGTGCATGAGAAACATCATAAGAGATAATATACCAGGTATGAATATATCATAGATTAAATCAGCCCTTAAAAATTTTTTCCAGAAATTTCTGGTCAGGTGTAGTGTCCTGACAGTGGTGGTAGCAGTGGCCATATGGCCATTTAGAGGCAATAGCCTCTAACTTAACTGTGTCTCCAGCCCTTCATTCACTTATGATTTAGCTATATGTCATGAAAATGTATTTTGCCTGGCAATATGCCCCTGTATCAACCTGAGGCTTGGAAAACAGATTAGCCTCTTGATTGGAAACTGTCAAGTAAACCCAAGATGGAGGACCCAGGAGTAGTAGACCTCAGCCTGATCTTTCAGTTAAAAGTTGTTGGTCCCTGTAATATCCTACTCAAAGTTTAGCCGCTTCATTTCATGAAAATTTTAAGCTCTCTACTTTTTCAGTCAATAATTCTGTCATTTTACTGACCACTAGGGGGAGTAATTGCCTGAGTATTTTCATTTTGTTTTTTGATGTTTTGATGGTTCTTAAAACATTTTCTTTTATAAGCCAAACCTACTAGTAATACTCTTAAATTGAATATTAAAGATAAAATTTTCTTAGAACAGTAGAACCAGAATTTCACAAGAACTTAAGTGATCTATTGTAGAAGCAATACAATATAATGGAAAAAGACCTGGAAACCTTTTTTTTTTTTGGCCACTTATGAGTTTTGTGATTATGGTCAAGTCAGATAGCCTCTCTGAACCTCAGTTTCCTCATCAGTTTCCTCAATTTCCTAATACACTACTGATCTCACAAGTTCGTTAAGAAGAAAGCACTTTGTAAAATATAAAGTGCCATATATAATAATTATTGTGATGATGCATGGTGTTGATAAACAATGATACTCCAAGTGCTTAAGTAAAATATCTATAATATCTATTGTAAATATATTTTAAATATATTGTAAATATATTTTAATATCCTTAATATCTATTGTAAATATATTTTTAGCTGAGTATATTGAAAAACAATAGAATATTTCCCCAAACCTAGAACATTTCATCAATAATAGTATTCTCCTTTATCCACAGATCATTGAAATGATGGTATCCTTATTATAATAGATGTATATATTTGAGAGCAAATGACTTATTTCAGGTCATTCAATTGCAAAACTTGAAATCTATAAAATTTACTCTAACCAAATACCTATATTTCTCAAAAAATATGCTTTCATTTCAAATTATCATACTTACAAGAACAGAATTTGAGACTGTGCCAGAAGAGATTTATGTCAAAGAAGCTGTGGCATTCCTGTTATTTAATAACTAGAATATGATAGTTTGGCCTTGCTATTGGATATTCTTCAATGCCATATATCTTTTATGTACATTCAAATGTGTGCTTCTAGAGTTTAAACAAATTTTTAAGTCTAATGTAGAAGAAGGAAAACCCTCATTATTTCTGAAGTGTTGTGTTGTTTTGATTAGGCCTCTTGTTGAAAAGTCCTTTAAAATATGAAGGTATCAGATGTCTTATAATAATTTCAGTAGTCCTTTATCTAATGAGGTTTGACTACTGTTATTATCAAGAGACGTGTATCTAGCACATTCTTCTTTTAATTTTCATTCTTTATATCTCCAAAGCCTCACATTCAAATATTCTACTTCCTTGTGTGGTATAAAGGAAGCAAGACAGTTGTTCCTGAACAATCCTGTAAATCAGTCTTGTCCATCCCTTTGCACACATGCACGGAGCCCATACTTCCCTTTGGTTTCATTGTCTCAACACCAATTAGTAGTTAGAAAGAGGAAAAGGATTAGAGATGCATTGACTTGTTGTTCTTCTTGTAGCACATACACACAAAACAACATAAATAATTTTAAACAACTAACTGATCATTCAGTTCGATAAACGCTTATCAAGTGCCTCTCTAACTTGATGTAGTGGATAGAGTCGGCTTTGGAGGCTCTGTGACCTTTGACACTTACCATGTTACCCTGGGCCAGTTTGATTATAAGTTCCAGAGATGGTGCTTACCTAGTTGGCAACCTCACCCTGGAGTTCCCTACACCAATGAAATCCCAGGCCAGTCCTGTCCTCATCCTTGTCCCTAAGAACACTTCAAAAAGTAGAGTGCACAGAGCTCATCAGCTCTTAGTTTTAAATGACCTTGTTGTCTGTAATCATAATTTTAAAATCTGTAAAAGCCAAGGGATGCTTCATTTTATTTTCTTAAGATTAATGTTCTTAAACATTTGGAGTATGCATATCATCAATATATAAATATAGATCCTCTGAAAGAGGGAGGGGGTGCCTTATTTTCTAAACTTTAAAAAGAGGGAAAAAACTAAAAATTTTTTCAAGAATGTATATAAAAAATAGTATCACTTTTTCGTTGTATTCATTCATTCATTCAATAAGTATTTGAGTACATAGTTTGTATAAGGTACTTTACTAGACTTACTGCTGCCTTCCAGAACCAGGCTTCCCCATTCACTGACACCTTTATTTACCCATTTGACATCTTCACTGTCTTTGGCCATTGCCTTTCATTGGTGTTTTCTCATCTATAAATAAAAACACAGTTCCATCTTTCAACTTTTTGTTCACTTTTTCACTGTAAAGCTCTTTAGATATAAAATTTTTGTTTAATTTTCTTGTTTTTCCCTTCACAGTAGTTTAATGTTAATATGTATTTGTATATTAGAAAGACTGGGTGCAGCTAGATGGCACAGTGGATAGAGCACCAGCCCTGGATTCAGGAGGACCTGAGTTCAAATCCAGCCTCAGACACATAACACTTAACTAGCTGTGTGACCCTGGGCAAGTCACTTAACCCCATTGCCTAGCCAAAAAAAGAAAAAAAAGAAAAAGAAGAAAGAGTGGTAGTATATTCAATACAACCTCCAAGATACAGTTTTAAAAATGACAACTTTAAAAGAAAATCTGCAGGGAAACTATCACTTTCCTTTTTACTTTAAAGATAGAATATGAGGCTAATTTAAGTTTGGGGTAGGGGAATATTGAAAGGACTTGCCTTTGTTACAGAGGAAGAATATTCATAGTATTAGACCAGGATTAGACCAGGACTATTAGTAGTTTTCAGTAGGATCTTAACCTAAAATGATGAACCAAAGATTTATTTTCTCTTTTGTTAATATTGTTTTTCAGGTGAGCACTTTACTTTTTCTTTGGCTTTTATTAGTGTGTGCATTTTGTTTTCATAGTTGCCAGCCAGAACTGAAAAATACTGAAGTACACCTGGAGATAATTTTTAAGATGGTTTTAAAAATCTATAAAACAGTAATTTTTTTTTGTTCAGAACTTGTAGCATTTTATCTATTATTCTGAGACTTAATTGTGTTTTCTCTCTTTCAGTCTGCTTTACAGGAACTTGAAGAATTGAAACAGATTGTTCCCAAAGAATCTCTCGTTTACTTCTTAATAGGAAAGGTAAAAGCTGGAGCTGTAATCCTGAAATAAGACTTTCATAAACAAAACTAACTTTCATAAAGAGCAAATCTAAGATGCCATGTATTAGGTGCTCTCTGGAAATACAAATTAAGCAGACAGCACTCACCCTTAAGGACCAAATATATGGGAGAAAAGAAAATCTTAAGAAAATACATAACCAAAACATATAAGCAAGTATTTAACTAATTATAACTTTGTTTGGAGATCAGAATGTGGAGAGCAGGTTAATCTGGGGAATATTATAGAAGAAAGCTAAGCAATTTTAAGAGGGAAAGCGTATTTCAGCAGAAGAGAGAGATGAAGAAAATTTCATCAGAGTTAGTGCAGTATTTTTGAATGTTACAAATGCACATTGATTGGTAAGAAGAGCATTACATGGTCCATTGTTTTGAGATTTACTGAATTTTTCTGTGTTTTGCATTATTTTATGCAACATCATATATTTCATTTGCCAGAAATGTACCACATTAGGGATTTGGAAAGAGAAGGGAAATATGGAATCACACAAAAGGGAGGCTGTAGGGTATAATAGGGTGTGCTTAACCTTGAAGATTTGGCTATACATTTAATAATAAGTGTGCGAATGTGACTATATTTTTATCAACTAAGACTAAGACCTTTAAGAGTAATATTGCCATCACTTATCTCAAACTTATATTTCATTTTAAGCTGTGGAAAGCACTTTTCTCATAATTTTTAATCAGCAAGCATTCTGTGCTAGGCACGTAATACAAAGACAAAAGTGAAATAGTCCCTGCCCTCAAGTAACTACATTCTAGTCAGGGGAGAACAACTTGTGCATATACATGTATATCCAAAGAGATAGAAGATAATTTGGAATGAGGAAGGTGTTGGTAGCTAGAGGATTATGCAAAGCTTCTTGTACAAGATGGCACTTGAACTGAGCCTTGAGAGAAGCTGAAAGTCCTAAGGAGATAAAGGGCCGAGGCATGAAGACAGGAATGTGGTGCCTTAATATATAGACCCGTGAGTCATATTCATAGTGATGACACTTGAACCCATAGAAGCTGATGAACTCTCCAAGTGAGAGGTTGTAGAGTAGCGAAAGAAGAGTCCAAGACACAGTCTTGACAGTACATGTATTTAGTGGTCATGATAGGATGATCCAACAGAATCTGAGCAGAGTGGTCAAGCAGGTAGGAAAAGAACCACGAGAACAATGTCACCATCAACAGTATTCAACGTGTTCAACAGTGTCAAATGCTGCAAAGATACCACAGTAGGTATTTAGCTCTCAAAACATTACTATCTCCAATTTATAGGTGAGGAAACTAAAATTTAACAAAGCTCAGTGACATACCCAGTGTTACACCTGGAGATTCAAACCCAGGTCTTCTAACTCCAAGGCCAGTATACTTTTCACTCTATCATAATTTGTGGCAAAGGGACACTGTAAAGGCTTGCAAGACCAGTCTAATAAGGAGTCTGGACTTTGCCTTTATACCTTTAAATCACAGAGTTACAGGGGAAGAAGGCTGTTGAAGCATGGTGGCAAAGTCCAAAGAGTTACATTAACAGAACTATAGAACAAAATTCAGTACCTTTTATCTACTGGAACAATCAGTTGAAAGGTTAATATTTAAGCCTCGTCAGAACACAAAGCAGTTTTTCAAGACTAAAAAATTGGACACTTGTCATTTCACCTTGGCACTTCATTGTCCAAACACTCCTAGTACTTGTTTAATGGTTATGTGGTTAGAATTGGGTCACTCCTCTTCTTTCCATTGGCTGTCCTTTTCAGTGTAGAAACCTCTTGCCAGCAACCTGCATTTGTAACTGCCACATCAGACTGTTCCTCTCATTGGTCCCAGGGCCTTCAGACCTTCTGAGCTTACAAAGTTTCTGCCAATCCTAGGATAATTTGATTGTCTTAGTGTGGTAGAAGAAGGAGAGAGTTGGGGGGGGTGGGTAAGGGGAGCAGGAAATGGTATTACAGAATTTAGAATTCAGTTCTCCCATCATAGTTGGGAGGTTCAAAGCCTGTCTTCTATAAAGTCCTATGCCTGTCCAGCCTAGATCATGAAATTGAACATTTAGATCTAGGAAGGACCTTAAAGATCATCTAGTCCAATCCCTTTGTTTTATAGTTTTGGGAACTAAGGCTCAAAGAGGTTGTGACTTGTCCACGGTAAATTAGTAACAGAGTCTGGATTAATCATGGCCAGGTATCATTGAGCATATCTGTATTCCTAGAACTTTGTAATTCTGAATCTGACCTCTCAGATGATTGAGCCCAGCCTATATATTACAGGCACTCAATAAACTTTTAAGATAATATAATGTTTTTATCTCTTGGTATCTTGGAGAGAGTTTCTTTGATATCTCCACAGTTTGCCTTCTTAGTTGGTTAAAGATAGTTGGCTTTCCTGACAACGTACCACAAAGAAGCTAATACCCACGAGGAAATTCAGAATATGCTTACAATGTTAGAACTTTACAGCTGTGAAGGATCTCAGAGATAATCTAATCTAGAGCCCTTATTTCATGGATGAGGAAAGTGAGGCCCAGAGAAGGCAAGAATCTTGCCCAAGGCCAACCAGGCATTAAGGTTAGGTTCCAGGGAAACATATTCTTTAAAAGTTCCCTGTCCTCAAGGAGCTTAAATTCTGTTGGGTGAACAGTACGTATACATATAAATATACAAAACATATACACAATATGAAGTAATTTTTGAAGAGAGGCTCCAGCAGCTTGGTGGGAATCAGGAAAGGAAATTCAATAAATATTTATTAAGCACCTACTATTTGCCAGACACTGTGCTAAGTGCTCGAGATACAAATAACAAAAAAGACAGCCCCTGTCCTCAAGGAGCTTACAATCTAATGGGAAAAGACAGCACACAAAAGGAAGCTGAAAAGCAAAGGGAGACAGGGCACCAAGGGGCATAATGTCCCTTAAAGGCCAAGCAATGCTGCTGGTGAAAAATGGAGAGTTACCTGGAAAGTTCAGATCTGCAGCTTGAGAGGAATTGATTGCTCCAGCCCTCCAATCAAAGAGGAAAAGCAGCTGAAGGAGTTGAGAGTAGTAGGTATCAAAAACTGAGTCAAGCAGCATGGTGATGAGATTTCAAGTGATCAGGTTATCCTGAGTAGCATTGAATGTTACAAGTGAGGAACAACAAAAAGGTCAATTTTTCTAGACCATAGAATTAGTGAATATGAGTAATGCGTAAAAGTTAGAAAGGTATGTTGGGGCCAAGTTATATAGAGGATTTTAAATGCCAAATTGAAGAGTTCATATTTGACATTAAGGATAATGGGGGAGTTTACTGAGTAGGGGATTGAATGTACTATATGAATCAGACCTATGCTTTAGGAAAATCACTTTGGCGACTGTGGGGAGGATGGATTAGAGAAGGTAGATATCTGAATCAGAAAGACCAATTAGGAGGCTGGCCAGAGGCAATGAGAGCCTGAACCAGAATAATGATTGTGGATAGAGAGGGGGGTAGATAGGAAAGGTTGTGAAAGAAGAATTGGCATGATTTGGTGACTGATTTAGATATGGGGGAGAAAGCAGGAGATATAGAGGAAGACTAGTTACAGAGGCTGCTAGTTGGTACATGGAATAGAACATTGGACCTGGAGTCAGGAAGTCCTGTATCAAATGCAGCCTCAGGCACTTAATAGCTGGATGACCCTGGGCAAGTCACCTAACCTTTCTCTATGCCTCAGTTTCTTCATTTTTAAAATGGGGATAATAGCACTTAACCTCCCAGTGTTGTTGTGAGAATCAACCACTATATTTATATAGTGTTTTGCAAATTGTAAAGCTATAAATGCTAGCTATTATCATGACTCCAAAGTTCCAAACCTGGGTGACTGGAAAAAGCATAACATGCTTGACTGTGTTGGGTATGAGATGCCTGTGAGACATCCTATTTAAAATATCCAACTAGGACTTAGTGATCCCGTAGTGGAGCTAAGGAGAAAGTGCTTTATCTCTCCTTATTTTATGTATAAGGACTGTATTTGTCTTATAGAAGGAATTTTATAGGATCCCTTCTTTCCCTATCATTGCACTCAGCTTACGTAATACTGGAATTTTCTTTTTTTGATAGAATTCATTTGTAAATACATCTGGGTCTGGAATAATTTTGGTTGAGAATTCCTTGATGAGTTACACAGTTTCTTTTTCTGAGACTGGGTTGTTTTAATTCCCTATTTCTTATTTTGTTAATATGCATATTTTATATTTTTGTAAGTATTAATCTGTCAGCCTTGTTGGCATATAATTGGGTAAAATAGTTTCTAATTTGGTTTTCTAATTTTTAGAAAATACTGAATTAACTAATAGTTTATTTCGTTAGGTACCCTTTCCTTTCCCTCTTTTTTTTTAATGGCTCTTTTTTTTTCTGTCAATTTTAATCTCTTCTTTGGTTTTCAGAATTGTTTTTGTGTTTGTTGAAGTTTTTTGATTTGTTGCCTTTCTGATTTTTTTCTACATGCATACCCATTTCATTGATCTGTTTTCTTCTTTATTTTGCTGATGAAAGTGTTTAGTGATATATTTTTCCTTAAGAACTTACTTTGGCTTCATCTCAGCACATTATCTTATGGTTGGTATTTTCTTGGATGAAATTATCTATTGTTTCTATGATTTTTTTTGACCTATCAATTGTTTATGATTGAGTTACTTTTTCTCCATTTAATTTAGATTCTTTCTTCATTTGAACCCTTTATTGTTGATACCTTTTTTCTAACCAAAATTTTAATGAAGTAATTGACTTGTTTCTCTTTTTTTTAGATTTCCCTAAGTCTACCAAGGTCATGTTGAGGTCCCCAATTATTATGGTTTTACTATCTATTTGTTCCCGTAATTATCTACCTTTATTTATTTGAGAGGCAGCTTGGCTTAGTGGATAGAGAACTGACCTCAGAGCAAGGAAGACCTGAAGGGTCAAGTCTTCCCTCCGGCACATACTGATCATCTGACCATCGGCAATTTGCTTAATGATT